TATGTGGGGTCAGGATGGGTGTGGGGTCAGGACATGCGTGGGGTCAGGATATGTACAGGATTGGGATGTGTGGGGTCAGGATGGGTGAGGAGTCAGGATGTATAAGGGATCGGGATGAATGTGGGGTTGGGGCTCATGGGGTCAGGAGGATCAGGACGTGTGTATAGGTTAGGATATATGGGGTCAGGATGCATGTGTGGGGTATCAGGACGTGTGTGGGGTTACAGAATCACGGAATGGCCGGGGTTGGAAGGGACCTCAAGGACAATGAATCTCCAGCCCCACTGCCACAGGCAGGGCCACCAACCCGCACATTTCGTGCCAGACCATTTAATAGCAGGTGAGGGTACATCGGGGTCAGGCTGTGTACGGGACTGGGACGTGTGTGTGGGGTCAGGACACGTGTGGGGTCAGGTCACGAATAGGGACAGGACGTGTGTGGGGTCAGCCCCCATCCCACCCCATTGTCCCCCCCTCCGCCCCGCAGCGAGAAGCGCAGAGCCATCATCCCCCCCCACCTGGCGTACGGCAGACGCGGTTCTCCCCCCACCATCCCAGGTAAGCGCGGCCCCCCGCCCCCCTTCCACCCCCCCAGCCCCTCCTCGACCCCCGCACCTCCACCCCGACCCCCGCAGGCGATGCGGTGCTGCGCTTCGAGGTCCACTTGGTGGCTCTGTCCCGTGCCGGCGGTTGGAGGCGGGCGCTGGACCGGCTGCTCCCATTGCTGTGCCTGGCGCTGCTGCCGGCCCTGCTGGGTCTCATCGGCTTCCATCTGTACCGCAAAGCCAGCAGCCCCAAAACGTCCAAAAAGAAGCAAAAGGAGGAGAAGAGGAACAAAGCCAAAAAGAAATAAAGCTCCTCTCCGCGCCTGCAGCCGCGCTGCGTGCGGCTCCCGTGCTTTGTGGGTTTGGTGCCGCGCTGAGCTGCGGGCTCAGAGCAGAGAAAGCAGCGCCGGGCTCTGCGTGAGCAGCAATACGACCTGCAGGCGTCGTGGGCGCAGCTGAGCTCCTTTATGGCACCTCCTGGCTCTGACATTCAGCCCCCAGCCCCACGCTGGGACCCGCAGCCCCTTGTTGTTCCGGGGGGCTGCGGGGCTGCGGGGCGTCCCGGCTGCGTTGCGGGCAGTTTCTGGGGGTGCAGCTCTTGTTGCTGACATCCAGCAGTGCGTTGGGTTTGCTCATCACGTCGGGGTTCACCGTCAGCCCGTCCAGGTAGCGCCGCAGCAGCGCCCGCAGCCGCCGGTTGCTGTGGGTCAGGGCTGCCCTCTGCTGCCCCACCGCCAGCTCCTCCAGCTTCACTTTGTTGAAGCGCTGCCAGAAGCGCTCCAGCCCCACGTAGTCCTGCACGGTCTGGGGGAGAGGCGCTGGTGAGCTCCCCGGGTTCCGTCCTCCCATCCCTCAGCAGTGCGGGGACCCTCGGGCTGTGCACACCGCAGAGGGGTGGCAGCAGGGACAGGGAGGTGATCGTCCCCCTCTGCTCTGCTCTCGTGAGGCCCCAGGGCTGGAGCCCCCAGGACAAGAAGGACAGGGAGCTGCTGGAGAGGGGCCAGAGGAGCCACGAAGATGAGCAGGGCTGCAGCACCTCCCTATGAGGACAGGCTGAGGGAGCTGGGCTTGTTCAGCCTGCAGAAAAGAAGCTGTGGGGTGAATCATTGCAGCCTTCAGCACCTCAAGGGAGCCTGCAGACAGGAGGGGAGTCAGCTCTTGGGAATGGGAGAGAAGTGCAGGACGAGGGGAAATGGCTGGAGTTGAGGGAGGGCGGATTTCAGCTGGATGTCAGGGGAAGTTGTTTGCTGTGAGAGCGGTGAGGTGCTGGAACAGCTGCCCAGAGAGGCTGTGGATGCCCCGTCCATCCCTGAGGTGTTGGAGGCCAGGTTGGATGGAGCCTGGGCTGCCTGGTCTGGCATTAAATGTGGAGGTTGGTGGCCCTGCGTGTGGCAGGGGGTTGGAGCTTTGTATCCTTGAGCTCCCTCCCAACCCAACCATCCTGTGATTCAGGCGGTCCCCAGCACTGCCTCCACCCCCCCCCAGCACTTGGGACCCCCATGCTGTCCCCTCACCTGTGCCAGGGGCTCAGTGGGTGCCTCTCTGAGGACCCTTTGGGCATCGTCCTGCTCTCCTTCTGCCAACGAGGACGGGTAGAAGGGCAGCACCTTCTCCTCCTCGCTCTCCATCCTGCGGCACAGCTCAGCCAGACGCAGAACGCGCTCAGCCTGGGGGATGAGGGCAGGGAGAGGGGATGGTGAACCCCCCCACCACCCGGCTCACCGTGAGCCACGCGGGGGTTGTGTGGGGTTGGGGTGGAATCTCACCTTCCCCACGATTTTCCCCAGTGCTTTCAGGGCAGCGCCGCTCTGCGCCGTGAGCTCAGCCAGGCTGCGGTGGGCTTTGGCCTGGGCACGGCTCATCTCACTCTTCAGCTGCTGCAGCTGCCCCAGGGCCGCCTCCTTCTGCTCCCGCATGCGTTGGTTTTGCTCCTCGCACTCATGGAGGTGAGCAGCCAGCCGGGCTTTGGCAGCCAAAACTGCATCCTGGGGGGACACACAGAGCGTGAGCAGCACGATGGGGTGGGCCTGACCCCAAACCCACAGCCAAAGCAGCACCTGCAGCTTCTGCAGCTTCTTCTCCTGCACCTCGATCTCCTGGGAGCTCTTCTCATCCTTCACCTTCAGAGCCTCAAAGCTGAGCTTGCGGTGCTCGGTGGCCTCAGCATAGCATTGCATGGCATGCTGGAACTGCTCCCACAGCCCCTCCAGCTTCCCACTCAGCTGCAGGCGGGTGTACTGCTTCTCCTGCAGGCTCTGAGAGGGAAAAACAACCGCGGGGGCTCCTCTGCACCGCCCCATCCCCGCTGTGCTCCCTGCTCTCCAGCCCCGAGAGCCGAGATCCGGCGTGCTGCGGGGCCGGCCTGACTCCTCGCACCTTATTCTTGATCTCATCCCTCGTGCTCTGGAAATTCAGCGTGGCTTCGTGCTCCTCCCTGGCGTGGTTCTGCTCCACGGCCACCGCCACGTCCTGCAGGTAGCGGAGCTCTCGCTGGTGCTGCTCCAAGATGCTCCTCCTTGAGAAACGAGGAGCAGAGGGGAGCGCGTGTTAAAAAGCGAGCGCGGCCAGCAGGGTGACAGCGAGCCAGCAGCGTGCCCTGCTGGCCAAGAGGACCAATGGTTGCCTGAGGGCACCGCACGGAGCGCCGTCAGCACGGCAGCGAGGTGCTCCACGCTCTGCTCCGCGCTTGGGAGGCTTCGTCCAGGGCACTGCGCTAACTGGGAAGTGCTGGGGGGGCCCACGGGGGCTGCGGAACTGTGGGGGGCTGAGAGCCCCGGGGCTGCGCAGCTGGGGGAGAGAAGATCTGATCGGTTCTGACCGATATCTGAGGGGGGTCAGGAGGATGGAGCTGGGTTCTGTTTCGTGCCAGCACTGGGCACGGAATGGGACCCAAAAATCTCCACAGAAACGCGAGGAAGGAGTTGTGTATTTTGAGTGTGACAGCACTGGCGGGAGCTGCACAGAGAGACGGCAGAGTTTCCTCCTCCAGAGGGATGCAAACCCCCCTGGGTGCTTCCTATGCACCTCTGTATAATCCACGAACACACAGATGTTAAAACTAAGAAATATACGGGAAAGTTAGGCTAAGATTATCACAGCAGGAAGACAATAAATGGCAAACGCTCAGCGATGCGGTAGGCTCGCAATGTTCTCCATGAGGAGCGACCTCCAGGAAGGGACCCTTCCTCAGGGGCAGTCAGCACTCACGTGGGTTTAGGAGAGGCGCAGCCAGGCTCCACCCCTCCCGGTAGCACAGGTGAATTACCTCCACCCGTGCTCCCACGGCTGACTCATTGCTCGCCTCAACCAGAGGCTCAGGCTGTGATTCAGCAGTTCCCCTATGGGGGTCTATTGGACGGGGGGGGGTCCTGCAGTCCCTTCCAACCTCTATGATCTGAAGGACCACGGCGGACAGCGGGTGCCACCCCCAACCCCACCCCCACCCCAGTACCTCTCAGCCTCAAACTCCTCCTGCAGGTCCTCCAGCTGCGCGCTGCAGCCCTCCTCCATGCAGCGCAGGCGGCAGCGCTGGAGCTGCAGCAGACGATCCACGTTCTGCAGGTGGCCGCTCAGCGCCCGCTTGTGCTGAGCTTCTGCCTCCTCCAGGTCCGTCACCAAGGACTGAAGGGGGACAGGGGGGGTCACACGGGGCTCCCAACACCCCCCCAAACGGGGACAGCCCCCCACTCACCTCGATGACGCCGTCCTTGCTGTCCATCACCCGCGCGAAGGTCTGGCTGAGGATGGCCACGTCCTGGTGCAGCTCCTGGGCTTTGGCTTCACGCAGCACCGCACGCCATTGGCTGTGGAGCTTATGGAGGTTCAGGGCAGCGCTGCGCTGCTCCTGGGCCAGCTTGTCCTGCGAGAGGAAGGATGTGAGGTGTAGGGAAGGATGGTGGGCAGCCAAAAACCGCCCCCATCCCCGCTCTGTACCTTCAGGAAGCGGCTGAGCATCTCCATCTTCCTCTTGGCTGCCTCCTCCTCGGCCAACGCGTGGCCCTGCAGCAGCAGCAGCTCATCCTCTGCCGACACGGGGCCTGCAGCTCGCTGCTGCCGCTTCACCGGCATGGCTGGGACGGGGGGCAGGGGGGGGGGGGGGGTTTAGGCCTGCAAGGCCCCCCCAGGCCTCAGTGCCCACAGCCCACCGACGGCTCCTCACCCCGGGACCCCCGCAGACCCTTCCTTTCGGGATCCCCGCAGCTTTCACCGCGCTCCCTGAGGTCCCACACGTTTTCTCGTCCCCCCTCCCCGCATCCCGGTGCCGCCCGTCCCCACCCGACGCTCCTCTCTCCTCGGCCGGCGTCCCGCCGGTCTCTTAGCAACCGCCACTTCCTGTCTGGGACTCAACTTCCGGTCTCCGAGCAGCCCCAGGCAAACGCGCGCCCCCTTGCGCTTGGAGGAGCGAGTGGGCGTGGCCACGCTGCTTCGCTATTGGTCGGGATTCCGGGATCCCCAGAGGTGATTGGTGGAAGTGCTCCGCTGTGGGCGTGGCCGTGCCGGCGGTAGGGGTATATAGGGGCGCTGCGGCGGCGGAGCGCGGGGTTGGCGGGTGGGTGCGTGGTGGTGGGGTTGTCGCGCTGTGCGGTTCCGCCGCGATGCGGGAACGGAGGCCGCCGGCGGCTGCACCGGCCCGGTGCAAACTGGTGCTGGTGGGGGACGTTCAGTGCGGGAAAACGGCGATGCTGCAAGTGCTGGCCAAGGACTGCTACCCTGAGGTGAGCCGGCTCCGGTACCGGGTGCGGGTACCGGGAGCACCGGGTGCTGACGGTGTCGGTGCCGTTGCAGACGTACGTGCCCACCGTGTTCGAGAATTACACGGCGTGTCTGGTCAGCGAGGAGCAGCGCGTGGAGCTGAGCCTCTGGGACACCTCCGGTACCGGGGGGGTTCGGTACCGTGGGGGGCGGGAGGGGGGGAGCAGCTCCG